GCGGAAGAGGAAGTGGAAAGGTGAATGGGTAAAGAAAAGACTGAAGAATCAGATTATGGGAACAAGTGTCTTATGTCATCTTGCTCCCTAAACTAAGCCATAAGCCTGGGTCTCCCTCACAGATTCTTCCCGAGCTCTCTTCCACTCCTGGGCACTATTCATGGTGACCCTATATACCTGGAACCCACAGGCAAACCCCTGTTACAAGGGCTGCGCTTGGGGCTGAGATAACAGGCAAATGAGACACAGTCCCCATCCACAAGGAGCTCACGGTAGTGACTTCTGCTTCTATTCCAAAGCCCCTGACACCTTTTTTTTTTTTAAAGTTTATTTTATTTTTGAGAGAGAGAGAGAGAGAATGAGTGGGGCAGGGGCAGGGAGAGAAGGAAACACAGAATGTGAAGCAGGCTCCAGGCTCTGAGCTGTCAGCACAGAGCCCGATGTGGGGCTCCAACTCACAAACCGTGAGATCATGACCTGAGCCGAAGTCGGACGCTTAACCGACTGAGCCACCCAGGCGCCCTGCCACTGTCTACTTTTGTCTCAACTTTGGAGCCCATGCGAGGAGTTCAGTGCTACGATTTATTTCCTGTTCTCTCTTTTATCTCAACCCTAAGGTGATTCCCATGAACACGGCTGATTTTGGGGGGATGAATTTTGAGTATTTATTACCAGTTTTTTCCCAAGTATTTCTTTTTTAATTGTTGCAAAATATACATAATTTACTGTTTTAACCATTTTTAAGTGTATAGATCAGTGGCATCAAGTACATTCACAGTGCTGTGCAGCCATCACCACGGTCCATCTCCAGAACTTTGCATCTTCCCCAACTGAAAGTCTGTCCCCATTAAACACTAACTCTCCCCTCCCCCCTCTTCGCAGCCCCTGGTGGCAGTCCCCATTCTGACTCTATGAATTTGATTACTCTAGGTAGTCAGATCATTGCATCATACAATATTTGTCCTAAAGCCGTTTGGCTTATGTCACTTAGCACACTGTCTTCAGGGTTCTTCTCTGTCCATAGACGTGTCAGATTTTTTTTTTTCCTTTTTAAGGTTAAGTAATATGGCACTGTATGTGCACACCACACTTGTTTATCTATTTGTCCACATTCGGATTGCTTCCAGCTTTTTTCACAGTTCACTTTGACAACTTGCACTCCATTCAGATGGAAGAATGGAGTCTTTAATCGACACCTACTTGAGGGATGAGAGCAGCTCCCCCCACACCCCGCCAAGAGTTGTGGGGGAGGGCATGTAAAACACCCAGCAGATGTCACTACCCAATTAAAAATACTTTATAATATTTAGTAGCTAATACATCCTTATGGTAAGAAATTTGGAAAATATAGCAACGTGTCAAAATGAAGTAAAAATTTCCTCTAATTTCTGCACCCAGAGATAACACAGATGATGTGTATGTACAGAGAAAAAAAGACTAGAAAAGAGCAATTCAGTTGTCTGAGTCCCCTGGAGCTTCTATAACAAAAATCCCACAGACTGGTGGCATAAATAAACAAGGGACATTTATCTCTCGGAGTTCTGGAGGTTGGAAAGTCCAAGATCAAGGTGCTGGCAGATTTGGTGGCTGATAGGAGCCTGCTTCCTGGTTCAGAGATGATGCCTTCTCACTGAGTCCTCTCATGGCCGAGGGGAGAGGGAGAACTCTGCGATCTCTTTGCTAAGAACACTGATTCTATTCATGAGGGCTCCACCCTCGTGACCTAATCACCTCTCAAAGATCCCCCCGCCCCCACCTCCTAACACCATCACCCTGGGGGTTAGGGCTTCAAGCTATGAATTTAGTGGGGGAAGGGGACACAAACATTCAGTCTACAGCATTGGTAACAATAGCTTTCTCCGGAAATTAATTAGCTGTGCTTTCTTCTGCCTGGGTCTCCTGTAGGGAAGCCTCCAGGAGGCTGGCCTCTGTACCTGCAAGGGTCTGAGCCCCCAGACCCAGCTGCCGCAGTTCATCTGTGCCTCAGGAGCTATATATAGACACACAGGCTGGGGCAGGCATCACGCAAACATTATGCATGATGTGTAGCGAGATGTTAGTTCATGTATATATAAAGCTGCGCTCCCATTACAGAACTCCTAATAATTAGGCTCCAGAATTTGCGGTTTGGACAGAAGCTGCTCCAGAAGGAGTCTGTGTTGGGGGAGGTATCTACGGAAGAAGCTTCCCATTTTCCCATTGACAGGATCCCTTGCTTCACCCCACTTGGATCGTGGAGCCCCCCACCCCTCCCCCTGTCCCACCAGGAGAGCTGTGCGCTGTTCTCTTGATACTCATTAGATGTTTCAGAGAAGCCACCTTCTGGGGGCTTCCAGCCTTTTCCACCTGCCCTCTGGAGTTTTTGAGGGGGGGGGCAGGAAGGATCCAAGAACTGAGCGGGGTAGGACTGCTAAGTGAGGAAACCTGGGGCAAGGGTGAATTGCAGTGTGACATGAGGGTAAGGGTGGCTGGTGGTCAGGGGCCATATTCTCCTGAGGGAACAGGAGATAAATGTAATTGTCAATTTCTAATAAGTCTTTGAATTGAAACCCAAGAAAATCAATACAGGAGCACCTTCTCTGCCCAAACACATTCTGGAAAAGCAGATTATAATACATATATTTCAGAACTGCCAGCACAGTGAAATTCACATGAAACCCCTCCCACACGCTCTCTCCCTCCAAGCTGACACAAGCCATCAACGCGGGAGGCTGTGGGCTCTTCGTGTCCCCATGACCCCATGCCTCCACTTCTCCTACCCAGCCCCCTGCACTTCGCAGGCGCTGTGGTGGTCATGATCCCTCGTGCTCCCTCCCTGCACCCGTCCTGAGGGGTAGGCAGGCAGAGACTGTTCTATCTACCAGATAATCCCAGAGGGCTTGAGTGCCCTGCCCAAGTCCTGAGTCAGGAGAGTGGTGGCCAGGATTCAGAGCCACATTCGCGAACTCCAGGAGGGCAGGCAGGGTGGGGGGACAGGCTTGAGGAGAGGTGGGACATCAATGATGGAATCGCTGCTCCAAGAGTAGGGGCAGAGTCGCCTGGCAGATGAGAATGGAACACACAGGAGAGGATGGACCCAGGGGCTGAAGTTTAAAATCCCTTTCACTCATGTTCTTTTTTCTTTTTAAATTGCAGTAAAATATACATGACATAAAATTTACCATTAGTGCCATTCAAAATGTTGTGTAGACATCACCGGTATCGAGTTCTAGAACATCCTCATCATCCCGAAGGGAAACCCCATGCCCGTTATCTGCACTGTGTCCCAAGGACACAGCTAGTGCCGGACAGAGTTGGCATTTGACACATGCAGACTGTAGCTGAACAGTAGACATCCTTATTTTGCCAATAAGAAGCGTGGTTAAAAGAAGAAGAAGAAGAAGAAGAAGGGGAAAGTGCTAATTTGAATATGTGAACTTTTTAGGGTAATATTGAATTTTTCCAGTAACAAACGTTTTAAATCACATACTATATATATTAACACATTAACTTAAAAATACAGCTTTTCCACAACTCCCTCTGTGTGAAATATTTAACACTTCACTCACATCTTTGACATCAGGTCCTTCTTACCACTGGAATCATTTTTTTTTAACATTTATTTATTTATTTTGAGAGAGAGAAAGAGGGGGGGGGGGGAATTCCAAACAGGCTCCACACTGTCAGCTCAGAGACTGACTCAGGGCTCGATCTCACAAACCTTGAGATCATGACCTGAGCTGAAATCAAGAGTCAGATGCTTAACCAACTGAGCCATTCAGGTGCCCCTGAACCATGTTGTGAATCAGAGATCCACATTCTAGCCTATATTATTTTCCCTACAGTCTAAAGAGACTTGGCTATTTTTTATTAATAAAGGAAATGTTTATTTCTTTAATAACAGCTTTTTGAGATATAATTAACATATCATAAAATTCATCCTTTTAAAATGTACAGTTTGGGGGTGCCTGGGTGGCTCAGTGGGTTAAGCATCCCATCTTGATATTGGCTCAGGTCATGATCTCACGGTTGGTAAATTGAGCCCCATGTCGGACTCTGGGCTGACAGCCCGGAGCCTGCTTGGGATTCTCTCTCTACTGTCTTTCTGCCCCTCCTCTGCTCACGCGTGCACGCTTGCACACGTGCTCTCTCAAAAATAAATAAATATTTAAAATATGCATTTTGGTGAATTACATTCGCAGAGCGGAACAACAGACACCGCTAAGTACTTGTAGAACATTTTGACCATCCCCCAAAGAAACCCTGTACCCTTAGCGGTCACTCCCTCTTCTCCTTTCCCCTCCAGTCCCCCACCAAAGCAGCTAATCTGCTCTCTGTGTCCACAGATGTACCCATTCTGGATATTTCATATACGTAGGGTCACATCACGCGTAGTTTTGTGTGTCTGGCGTCTTTCACTTCACTTCGCATGTTTCCAAGGTCCATCCATGCTGTAGAAGGTCAGCGCACCCTTCCATGGTACCAACATTCCACCCCTCGTGTATTTCTTTATCAGCTCGTCGGCCTTTGGGTGCTTCCATTTTGGCTATGGTGAACAGCACCCGAGTTCTTCCACTGACCACCTCTTGAGGCGTGATTATCTCCATTTTACAGGTGCAACACTGAGGCCAGAGCAGTGGGGACTCCAATCCCATCTTGTACCCACCCCCCCTCCATCCAGCGCGTCAGGGTTTCTCTCAGGCCAGAGTCGCTGGTTGATGCCAGAGAGAGAAGGTGTTAGATCCTCACTTAAGCCAGGGAGAGCCCAAGAGCCCTCTACTCGTGGGGAGGCCTGCGTGCTCACCTTTTACAGCTCTGTGAAGTGTGAGGAACCCAGGCACACACACCCGTGTCAGGGATGCACAGCCCTAAGCCCCCTTCTGTGACCTGCTCAGGTTCTATGGAGAGAAGGGCCGTGTGGTGTCCAGCAGAAGCTCTGCCGTGCCAGCAACTGGACCCTCTACTGGGGAAGCAGGTCTGAGCCTCAGCCCACAGCAAAGCCCTGGCCTGCCCTCCTTCTGATGTCCAGGGGAAACCAGACCCCATCCTCTGAAGCCATGGGCCCTTCCCGCTCTGCAGTCCTGTCCGCGATGAGGCTCGGTCTGTGGTGGCTCCTTCTGAGCCCAGCAGGTGAGTGGGTGTAATCACTAGGACATCATGTCACACCTGTAGGCTCCCGTGCCGCATGGAGGAGACTCCTGCAGGTGGGCTCCCGGCAGCTGCCAGCGCTGCAGGGGACTTGAGTAGCTCATCCCACAGCGGGAAGGTGGCGGGGCACTCGAGGTTTTCATGCTGGGGGCTGTGGCACCTGGAGCCTCCCGGAGGTCAGCGTTCCTCATCTGCAAAATGCCCCTCGTTCTGCGAACTGCCCCAGGCTGTCGTGAGGACCACGTGAGATGCAAGTCTGGGATGAGCCCCTGGGATACAGTGGGCACTCAGTACACGGCAACTGCTGTTACTGATGTGCTTTTCTGGATTTCAGCGCAGCATTCTTGGCTTGCTCGGGCGTGGGAACCTTGAAGAGTGAGGCTGTGTGCAGAGCGCGGTGAAAACAAACACGAGCGATTCCATCCACAATTTTGGGACACTTTGCCTGGCTGATAAGAAGGAGCAAATGCCAGTGGTTGGAGCAAAAATGGGGGAGATGCCTGAAGTAGCAGAGGATTTTGTGGTTAGCATTAGCGGTTCGTTGACTGGTGCGTGGGAATGAAAGGCTCGCTGTGATGGGTGAAGCCCTTCTCCCTGCAGCTCACTCCATGCCAACCAGGTGTCTCCCCCATATCACTGTCCCTGGGGGCTCCTCAGTTCTAGGCTGCATGTTATCTGTAGGTCTGACTTCTTCTCCATTCCTCCGTCTCTGCCTCCCTGTCCAGCACTTATTTCCATGCCTTCTTATCTAGTAGTCACAGAGTAACTGACATTTCTTTAAGTTTATTTATTTATCTTGAGGAGGCAGGGCAGAGAAGGAGAGAGACAGACAGACACAGAGAGAGAATCCCAAGCAGGCTCTGTGCTCTCAGTGCAAAGCCCAACGTGGGGCTCACTCCCGCAAAGTGGGAGATCATGACCTGAGCTGAAATCAAGAGTCAGAGGTTTAACCATCTGAGCCACCTGGGCGCCCCTTTGGGCTCCCAGCCATGTGCTGGTTGCTTTGTTAAGTTCTACTTTATTATGTTGAATCCTCAAAACAATGTTTTGAGCCCAGCTCTGGATAGAGTCCCCATTTTGCAGATGAGGAAACTGAGGTTCAGTGGTTCTGATTTGATGGGGGAGGGACCCAAGCACCCACCACCATGGACTCCTGGAGACCCCACTCTTCCGTTCTGTCCGCAGGGTCAGCACAGCGAGCCTCTCATACCCAAGCCGAGGACCGACTCTTCAAACACCTCTTTAGGGGCTACAACCGCTGGGCACGGCCAGTGCCCAACACCTCAGACGTGGTGATCGTGCGCTTTGGGCTGTCCATTGCCCAGCTCATCGATGTGGTACGCCTGTCCCCCATACTTGTCCCTCTCGGGATCAGCCCCCAGACCACAGGTCCCTTTCCCGGGGTCCTTCCTCCCTACCCCCCCACTCTCCCAGCCCCGTACCCCCTCCTGAGAGGGCAGTGATTGGCAGCAGTGGGTTTTCTAGGTGCCCTGCTTGTTCCACTGGACACAAAGTCAGAGGACCCAAGTGGCCCGTGTGATCTTGAAGAATCTGAGTAAGGGTGGCAGTATCGGGAGGGAATGGTAAATTGGGCTGGGCTTGGGGTGTCGCATAAGAGGTTCCTCTGGTGAGTAGGGGGCCTGCATCGTCCCACCCCACTCTACCCTGTTTTGGGGGACTGGTTCCATCACTGCCTGTTCTTATTCTCTCTACCGGTCAGGATGAGAAGAACCAAATGATGACCACCAACGTCTGGCTAAAGCAGGTGAGATTCTCTCCACTGGTTGGGGCGAGAATAAGGGAGGGAGCCCATGGACCCCAGACCCACCCAGGACTCTCTCACTCTCAGCGGGATTCTGAATTCATGTTTCACCCAAGAGTTACCACTTGGGACATTCCCAAAGCCAGCCGATTGCAGAATGCTCCTCGTAGGGGCTGTGCTCTGAGACTCCAAGTCCAGTACCTGAGAATGTCACCTACAAGAACCCAGTCACCCCCTTTCTGGGAATGGGCATTTCCTACGTCCCGGCTATTGTTTGGAGATCAGTTTATTGAGTTGTCACCGAAAACCCAAAGGAGGTTTCATTCTGCCCCTTTTACAGCTGAGGAAAGCCTGAAGCTGAGTGCAACTCAGCTAGAAAAAGGGGGCCCAGGTGTGCTCAACTCGGAACCGCAGGCTCCTTCTGCGGGAGAATGCTGGGTGTTCCACGTCTATGCTGCCTAACAAACTACCCCGAAACTTAATGGCTCAAAGTAACAGTTGTCATATCTCATAGCTTTATGGCCAGGAGTTTGGGTGATGTCTTCTGCTTTGCGTGGCAACTACTGGTGATACTTGGTGCTGTTTAACCTGTGGTCTGCTCTGGAGGTTCTAAGAGCGCTTGACTCATGTCAATTCCTTAGGAGGGGTGTCTGGAAGGCTCGGGAAGGTTCTGGAAGCTGGGTCCACAGGGCCCTTCTTTCTCTTCAGGCATAGTCAGGGTGTCTCCATGAGTTCTCTCCCGCAGGGGAGTTGGACGCCTCACCTGGTGGTTCAGACACCCCAGAGCCAGGGTCCTCAGAGTCAGGAGATGAAGCTGCTGGCTTCTTATGGTCTGAAAACTGGCCTGCATCCATCCTGGAAAAGAATGTGTGACCCTTTTTGATGTACCGTCCTTGGGGGCAGAACTTGGGGGGCACAGGCTTTATTAGAGCCTGAATATATTCCTTTCCTCTTCACCCCCTCGCGCTCTGCCTGGCCCCTCCCCAGGCCCTGAAGTGGAGATGGTGAGAGCACATGAGAAAGAGGACCTAGCCTTCTGTCTACTTTCCCCCCATACTCCGTCTTTCTGCCCCATTGGTAACTTAACCATCTCCTATCTCAGAGGCTCGTACCCAGAAAACCACAACAATCAGAATTTTGATTGGCATTTCCATTTTGAGTCTTTTGAATGACTGCCTTACTTTCTGTAAGTGGCTAGTGGTGTCCTTCCTGCCTCCATAGGCCCTGGGGCGGTATGCTGGCCACTTAATTTATAGTTGAATGCTTAGGTTGGAGGTGTGGAGCAGGCCCCTCTGACAATGTTCACCTTGCAGCTGTCAGGGGCCACACAGCTCATCTTTACAGATGTGCACACTGAGGCCCAGAATAGTAAGAGACTTGGGAAGCCACATAGTCCTGAGTTCAGGGGGAGACCTAGAACCTGGGCTGCCGTAATTGTCCCCATGAGCCCGTCACGTTGGCTTCGGGGGCTGGGGTGGGAAGCAGAGGAAGGAGCACTGGAGCAGAAGTCAGGCCAACCAGCACCACCTCTGACCAGCCTCAGAACCTCGCTTTCCTCATCTGTGAAATGGGGATAGCATAAACCGTTGCCTGCATCGGCAACCAATTGCCAATTAATATAACCCATTGGTGTAGATGCCCTCCATGTGTTGGTTGAACCCAAAAGCTAGACGGATGATGGTCTAGGGGCAAGGGGATAGGTTTCTGAAGATCAGTCCCTTTCAAAATTGTTCAACGCCCTGAGAAATCCTGACAATTTTACGAACGTTTCAACCTTTCTTATTTTGCAAGTCTGGCTCCTCTGAGCACCTCAGCCTTCCCCTACAAGTGAGCGGTCAATACCACAGCTAGGTCAGTGTCTTCCCAAGCGTGGTTTGGGTACCAACGGCAGTGTTTTGTGAGATGATTTTACTTGCCTCGCTAATCTTTTGGTAATAGTCGTGTATTTATATTCTAGTGGATGTTTTCAAATGCTCTTGGTTTTCTAGTTACGTCAGTGACATAAAATTTCAATATTTATGTAAGTTTAAAAACGGCGAACCAATTTAAAGGAAAATACTAAGCACATGATGAGACACGTGGTGCACATATATTGGAAAAAATTATGAAAATGGGGCTTGGAAGTTTGAGGCTGGGGAACCACTGAGCTAGACCAGTGCTTTTCCGCTCATGCTCTTGCTTCCTGGAAATGCTTGTCTTTCCCTTCTCTCCTTCCTGGATCTCTACCCAGGTGGATGCTTTGTGTAAACGTCACATGACTATCCTTAGAGGGGAAAAGGCATCATTCATGAGACCCTTTCCCAGGGTGCATCACAGCGCTATTTTAGTGCAGATGTACAGAAGCAAAATGGCACCTGGAATGAGGGCAGGCTTGGAGGCCAGGGGAGGCCAGGATTCAAGCACCCTCCATATTTCACTTTCCTCACCCTAACCCACAGGATTACTTGTGAAGATTAGAAAGAACCATCTAGAGGGCCTGCGACAAAAGTGGGTTTCTAAATGGTAGTAGTCATTATTTAATTATGATAAGCCCTTGGAGGCAAAGGACAGCCTTGTGTGTCGACCCCAGTCATCATCTGTTGGGGGTGGTTGTTTCCTTCAGGTCCAGAAGAGATCTGGGAAGCCCTCCCAGAGACAGGACCAGACAGCTTTAGAGGGAGGAGGCATTGTTTTCATTGCTCAGAGACACATTTACTGAGCATTCACCAGGGGTGTGGTGCTAGGGAGCCAGAGTGAGAAACAGATGTCCCTGGCTTCATAAAACTCACAGAGGCATTCAATAAACCCATACGCAAATCCACATTGCTCACCACTATGATCATGCCAAAGAGGGAAATTTCAGAGAGCGGGTAATGCTAACCTGGTTTGGGGGGGAAAGATTCACTTGGACCAGCTGCTGGGAGCAAGGCTGCCCCCCCCCCCCC